GGAGGACGAGAACGAGGACGAGCAGGAGGAAGAGGAGGAGGAGGAGGAGGAGGAGGAGCAGGAGAAAGAGGAGGAGGAGGAGGCAGGCTGAGGCTGAGGCTGTGACTGCGACTGCCGTTGCCGCTGCGACTGTCATCGCGAATGCGACTACGACTGCGAGAACAGCAGAATTCGACAACTGGATTTTCATCTGAATCTTAAGGGGAGGAATGCTTTCAGATATGCTTCTACACATCGCTGTTAGGTTGCTTTGCCGGGATAATAGTGTTTCTAGTGGTCTCAAAAGAGCTCACAGATTCACTCACAGGGGGGTCCGGGCAGGTGTTGGGGAGTTGCCGGGCGGCAGGGTGCCGGGCTCGTTTTTCACCAACAGTCACACACTTCGTGCTCTTCGACTTCCCAGAACTCCATTCCCAGGCCACATTCTGACCCGGATGCAACAGTCACACACTTCGTGCTCTTCGAGATCCCAGAACGCCATTCCCGGGCCACATTCTGGAGGGCCGGATGCAACAGTCACACACTTCGTGCTCTTCGAGTTCCCAGAATTCCATTCCCGGGCCACATTTTGGATGCCCGGAGCCAACTGTAGGCCACTTCGTGCTCTTCGATTTCCCAGAACTCCATTCCCGGGCCACATTTTGAATGCCCGGAGCCAACAGTAGGCCACTTCGTGCTCTTCGAGTGCCCAGAACTTCATTCCTGGGCCACATTTTGAATGCCCGGAGCCAACTGTAGGCCACTTCGTGCTCTTCGAGTTCCCAGAACTCCATTCCCGGGCCGCATTTTGAATGCTGAGGCAGGCTGAGGCTGAGGCTGAGGCAGGCTGATGCTGAGGCAGGCTGAGGCTGAGGCTGAGGCTGATGAGGCCGAGGCTGAGGCAGGCTGAGGCTGAGGCGAGGCTGAAGGCAGGCTGAGGCTGAGGCTGAAGCAGGCTGAGGCTGAGGCTGAGGCAGGCTGAGGCTGAGGCTGAGGAGGCAGGCTGATGCTGAGGCAGGCTGAGGCTGAGGCGATGCTAAGGCAGACTGAGGCGGAGGCAGCTGAGGCAGACGCTGAGGCGGCTGATGCTGAGGCAGGCTGAGGCTGAGGCTGAGGCTGAAGGAGATGCAGGCTGATGCTGAGCAGGCTGAGGCACAGAGGCCGAGGCTGAAGGCAGACTGAGGCTGAGGCTGAAGCAGGCTGAGGCTGAGGCTGAGGAAGGCTGAGGCTGAGGCTGAGGCAGGCTGATACTGAGGCAGGCTGAGGCTGTGACTGCGACTGCCGCTGACTGCGACTGTCATCGCGAATGCGACTGCGACTGCGAGAACAGCAGAACTCTACAACTGGATTCTCATCTGAATCTTAAGGGGAATGCTTCCATATATGCTTCTACACATCGCTGTTAGGTTGCTTTGCCGGGATAATTTGTTTTTCGTCAAAAGTCGGCCTGTAGCGGGACATGCCCGACCTCATCCTACCCAGAGCAACCCTCACGAGGCCCAGAGGGCCCCAGGGGCTTCCAAAGGGAGCGACACGCTGGGGGCACTTTGGGCTGCAGGGACGCCCTTCCCGGAATTCCGACGTTGCAAGACACAGGGGCAGCATCGCAAAACAACACGCCCGCAGACCCCCGGAAACCCCCCGTCCCCATCGTTCTGCGTCAGTTTTCGAGCCGGGCCGATCTGTGAGAGCCCCGGGGCCCGAACTCGGGCGAGAGCGCCCGTCGTAACAACAAGGCAAAAGTCTTTACGCTTCGCGTATCCCCACCAGCCCATCTCACAGCAGCAACTCTTGCGAAGCATGCCGACAGTCGTGTTTTTCAGGCGTGCGTCCGCTTGGCCCCGCATATCTCCCCTGTTCCTCCTTCCTCCCGCCTCCTTGTACATCCTCCTTGTGGGGGGAGCGGGAGAAGGACGAGGCGGAGGAGGAGGGAGAGAAAGCGCTCCTCGTGATTTGAGTCGTTTGGGGTTTCTCGTCCTGGTGTGAGTCGTTCGGGCCCTTCTTCCTGGTGTGAGTCGTTCGGGCTCTTCGTGGTGTGAGTCGTTCGGGCTCTTCGTCCTGGTGTGAGTCGTTCGGGCTTCTCGTGGTGTGAGTTGTTCGGGCCCCTCATCCTGGTGTGAGTCGTTCGGGCCCCTCCTCCTGGTGTGACTCGTTCGGGCTCCTCGTGGTGTGAGTCGTTCGGGGCCCGCGTCGTGGTGTGAGTCGTTCGGGCTCCTCGTGGTGTGAGTCGTTCGGGCGCCTCGTCCTGGTGTGAGTCGTTCGGGCCCCTCCTTGTGGTGTGAGTCGTTCGGGCTCTTCGTGGTGTGAGTCGTTCGGGCCCGTTCGGGCTCCTCGTGGGGCCTCTTGGGGGCCTCTTGGGGGCCTCTTGGGGGCCTCTTGGGGCCTCTTGGGGCCTCTTGGGGGCCTCTTGGGGGCCTCTGGGGGGCCTCTGGGGGGCCTCGGGGGCCTCAGGGGGCCTCTTGGGGGCCTCTTGGGGGGCTCTTGGGGCCTCTTGGGGGCCTCTTGGGGACCTCTTGGAGGCCTCTTGGGAGGCTCCTGGGGGCCTCTTGGGGCCATCTTGGGGCCTCTTGCGACCTCCTCTGAAGCGCAAAGGAGCCCTGCCCCCTGAGAAGGACAAAATGAGCCCAAAACCTTCGTAAAATCAATGATTTTGCTATGAAGGACGATGAGCGCGGCCCCCCCAGGAGGCCAAAATGGGGCCCAAACCCTAGTAAAATCAAGGATTTTGGCTTCAAAGAAGAGCAGAGGGGCCAAACGGTGCCCCCCCGTCGGGGCCAGAATCCTTGTGAGGGTCGTCGTTTTTTTGCCCTCCCAGGAGTCGACAAAGACCCCTCCAACGACCCGCGGGGCGCCCTCTCCAGGCCCAGGGGGAGGGGGTAGGGGGAGGGGTAAACCCCTCCCCGGAGGGGAAGAAGGGGGGTTGAGGACAGAGAGGGCTCCCTAAACCACTCACGCCCAAAGGGCTGGTGGGATTTGCCACGCCAGGACCTTACGGGACCCAAGAACTCTGCACGTGCCTCCGAGCGTTTGTGCCCGTGCCCCCGTCTGCGTGGCCTTCGGACATCGCGGCGTTCTCCCTGCCCGAGGAGGCGCTCGAGCACGTGCCGGCGCCGGACACGGTGCGGATCCGGTTCCAGAACGGCGATTCGGAGCGGATGGTCCACAACAACGTGCCGCTGGACGGTAGCGAGGTGGAGCTGCTGCGGCTGCTGCGGGAGGAGTCGAAGAAGAAAAAACTGCCTAAATATGAATTGTTGGCGCTCCGCGCGGATTTCTTGGATCCGCGCTGGGCCCCCCGGCGGCGTCTCCGGCGCCGCCCCTAGCGCGCTCTGCGCGCCAGGTAGGCGGGTCCAGCGCGGATCCAAGAAATCCGCGCGGATCGCCCACAATAGCTGTTTATGCCGTTTCTTCTAAGGAGGCCCAGAGGCAGGGCGAGTCCTTCTACCCCTCGATCGCGGCCGCGGCGACGCGGTTCCTCACGGACGCGAAGGGCGACGTGCAGCTGGCCCTTGCGGCGATGAGGGCCTCGCACGAGTGGCGGCGCGACTTCTTCCAGGGCGGCCCCGTCACCGACACGTCTGTGGCCGAGGACATGCGCAGCGGGGTCGTCTACCTCGCTGGCCGAGACAGCGAGCTGAGGCCCGCCCTCGTCGTTCGCCCCGCGCGCTTGGCGGACAGCCACGCTGGTACCGACGAGGGCCTCACGGGCCTCATCAGGCTGCTCGTGTTCTGCATCGAGTACTACTCGAGGTTTATGTTCGTACCCGGCCGGGTCGAGAACATCTGCCTTCTCTTGGACTTGCAGGGCCTGTCTCTCTCCCAGTTCCCGCGAGCGGCGATGCAGAGGGTGAACGAGGTCCTCGACAAGCAGCAGGCCTGTCGCGTCGCCAGGTTCTACGTCTGCAACGCGTCCGCCTGGATCCAGAGCTGCATGAGCGTCGTGTCCAGGCTCATGTCCGAGCGGCAGCGCAGCAAGCTCCGCGTCGTGTCTCCCGAGGAGCTGGCGGCGGAGTTCGCTCCGCACCAGCTGGAGGAGGACTTCGGCGGCAGCAGGGCGCTGGCGCACGAGTTCCTGCCGTTCCCGCTCCCCCCCGGCCCATCTCGGGCGCTGGCACGGAATCGATTTTGGCCCTGGGAGGTCGGTCCCTGTCGGTGGGTGTCCCCAGAGAGCCCCACATCGAGGCACAGAGGGGGCGCCGAGGCTCCAGTGCGGCTCTCCTCCTCCCCCTCCTCCTCCTCCTCCTCCTCGTCCTCCTCCTGCTCCTCCTCCTTCTCCTCCTCCTTCCTCTCCTTCCTCTCCTCCCTCTCCTCCCTCTCCTGCTCCTCCCTTCTCTCCTCCCCCTCCCCCTCCTCCTCCGCCTCCTCCTCCTCCTCGTCCTCCTCCTCCTCCTCCTCCTCCCCTCCTCCTCCTCCTCCTCCTCCTCCTCCTCCTCCTCCTCCTCCTCCCTCCTCTCTCCTCCCCCCTCCTCCTCCTCCTCCCCTCCTCCTCCTACTCCTCCTCCTCCTCCTCATCGTCCTCCTCCTCCTCCTCTCCTCCTCCTCCTCTCTCCTTCCTCTCCTCCCTCTCCTGCTCCTCCCTTCTCTCCTCCCCCTCCTCCTCCTCCTCCTCCTCCTCCTCCTCGGACACGTGGGGGCTGGGGACAGCGTGGGCCAAGGTCGCCTGGCCCGATGTGACCCCAGACTTCGCAGGGAGGCCACATGAGACCACCGTGGCCTCGCACATGCCGGGACCTCCGACGTTTTTTGCTTCACAAGTAGTTGGGCTCCTTCCTGGAGCTCCCCAGGATTGTCCCATCCATCCTGAATGTATGTGAATCCATGTATATGTATATGTCTATATATATATACATACACGTGTGTGCATTTGCTTGCATATTGATTTGTATGTATATATTCACACACATGTAGATCGAAGGCCCCGCGGCCCGAACGCCTTCCCCCAGACGCCCAGCATATGGCGTGAAAGAACTTGCTTTGTTATTTTTCGAGACGTTGAAGCTCTGGGGATCCTTTCTTGCCAGCACCCGACCGTTCGACGCCGGCAACCCGGCCGGCCCCAGCCCAGCGGCCAAGCCCGGCTTGCACTCGACGCTATCCCCTGCCGCGTTGTTGGGCAGCTCGTGGTGCTCTGCAACCGCTTGCAACACCTACCCTTCGGCGTTCCATAACGGATCCCTTGTTGAATCCAGCTTTCTCACGGAAGACCGCCAAAGACCAGCGATTACCTTGGCGAAACGCAGAAGTGACCCTTCGTCCCAGTGACCCTTGGTGCGGGCCCATGGACTACACGTAACAGTGACCCTTCGCCAGAGTGACTGACCTCTGGTGCGGGCCCACTGGAATTTCCCGATCGCCGAACGCGTTGCGATAGCAGCGCATTGCGCGGCTGTGCTTGGTCCCCCGTACGGCCCCCAAAAAGCTGCGCACCAAAAGTAACTCTTACCCATTGCCATTCTTGCGTGTAGCCGGTCACCGCTGAAAGGCCGCCCACTACTGCCGAAGGCAGATGGGCAACAAGGGGCAGAGGGTCCATGGTGGAAGGCGAAACGTTTCCCTTGCGGGTCCAACTGATGTCGGGGTACAGTATGGGACACCCCTGTGCAGGCCTGTACTCGGCTGCAGACGACGTTCGGTTTCCGAGCCCCCGCCAGTGTTCTGGGAGTCCGACCCTGCATGTGTGATTGCCCTCTCCTCGGCTCGGCGTAAGAGTGACCTTTCGCTGGAGTGACCTCTGGTGCGGGCCCGATGCGGCCCCCCCATCGCTGAACGCGAAGCGGGGATGAGCAGCGGCTTGCGCGCCCGGGTCTGGCCACCCCGCGTCCCCCGTGAGGTCGCGCACCGCAGGTCACTCTTGCCTACGGGTCACTCCTGCGTGCGGCCGACCTCCGACGACGACGCATTTTTCCGCGACGTGGGGCCCCCGGGTCTCTCGGCCTCTTCCCTTGGGGCCGACTTTTCATCCCGCAAGGTGTGCTTGATGGCCCCCTGGAAATGACGACAAGCCTGCCGTCGCGGTTTGCTTGCGACGCCCAGGCCTGCGTGTATGTGGGTTGATTTTGTTGTTGCTGTTGCTGTTGCTGTCGTTGTTCTTATTGTTGATGCTGTTGTTGTTGGTGATGTTGTTGTTGGTGGTGTTGTTGCTGCAGTTGTTGTTGTTGTTGTTGTTGCCATTAGTGTTGTTGTTGTTGTTGTTGTTGTTGTTGTTGTCGTTGTTGTTGATGGACACGTGCACTGACGACCCGTACCCCCCCCGCCCACACACACACACACACACACCAACACCAACACCCCAACAGCCCCGTGGGGCCGCTGCGGTGGCCCCGTCGGGGCCCTACGGTGTTGGTGTTGGTGTCTTATAGGATCCCATAGAAGTCCTATAGGATACGTGGGGGCTCTATACGACTCCATCGGGAACCTATACGATTCCATCAGAATCTTATGGAAATTCCATAAGGATCCTATAGGATTCCTTGGGGATCCTACAGGATCCCGTTGAGATCCTGCATGATGCCATGTGGGATCCTATCGGGTTCCATAGGGATCCGTAGAAATTGATCCCTGAGAATCCTTAGATGATCCCCGTGGAACCCTATAGGAGTCCTACAGGATCCTTATGTAATCCTGGAATATCAAAAGGGAATCAATCCTCCAGGAGTCCTAATGGTGCCTATGGAATCCTAGAGGATCAGTACGGCATCCTATAGGACCCGCATGAAATCCTGCTGGACCCCTATAAGATCCCTATGGAATCCTATAGGATCCGTATGAAAGCATATAGAATTCCATATGGAATCCTATGGGATCCCGATGGAATCCCATAGGAGTCCTATATGATCCCTATGGTGGCGCTCTGAGCACATCCTTAAGCATTTCCCCGTAGGAATCACTAGGTGATTCTTAGGAATCCTTGGGGAATCATAAGGAATCCTTTGGGAATCCGGAGGAATCCCGAGGGAATCCACCTCTCGAGGGTCGTGGTCCTGACCCCACAGGGAGCACCACCGAAGCTTGATGTCGGCACACCCCTCTCGAGGATTGTGGCCGTGGCCCCACAGGGAGCCCCACCGAAGCCTTATTTCGGCACGCTCCTCTCGAGGATCGTGGCTCTGTATCGGATCCTAAGCATGGCGTGCAGGCTCTGTAGAGGATCCCGTACAGGATCCCACACTGGCCGTGTATGCTCTGTATAGGACCCCGTACAGGGCGTGCAGGCTCTGTATAGGATCCCATACAGGCCGTGTAGGCTCTGTATACGTTCCCATACAGGGCGTGCAGGCCCCGTATAGGATCCTACACAGGGCGTGTAGGGTTTGTATAGGATTCCGCACAGGGCTTGTCTTGTGTAGGATCCCACAAACCGTGTAGGCTTTGGATAGGATCCCACACAGGCCGTGCACTCTTTGTATAGGTTCCCGCACAGGCCGTGTAGGCTCTGTATAGGATCCCACACTGGGCGTGTAGGCTCTGTATAGGATCCCACACAGGCCGTGTAGGTTTTGTAGATCGTCCTCAACAGGGCGTGCAGGCTCTGCATCGGATCCGTTACAAGGCGTGTAGGCTCTGTATAAGGATCCCATACAGGCCGTGTAGGTTCTGTAAAGGATCCCACACTGACCGTGCAGGCTTTGTGTAGGATTCCATACAGGCCGTGTAGGCTTTGTATAGGATTCCGCACAGGAGTTGTAGGCCCTGTTTGGGGTCCCGCACAGGGCGTGTAGGCTTTGTTTAGGATCCCACACAGGCCGTGTAGGCTCTGTATAGGATCCCAAGCAGGGCGTGTAGGCTCTGTATAGGATCCCACACAGGCCGTGTAGGCTCTGTATAGGATCCGACACAGGCCGTGTAGTCTTTGTACAACAGGGGGTGCAGGCTCTGTGTATGATTCCGCACACGGCGTGTAGGCTCTGTATAGGATCCCACATAGGGCGCGCAGGCTTTGTGTAGGACCCCATACAGGCCGTGTAGGCTCTGTATATACCCCGCACAGGCAATGCAGGCTCTGTATAGGATCCCAAGCAGGCCGTATATGATCTGCACAGGATCCCACACAGGGCGTGTAGGCTGTGTATAGGATCCCATACAGGCCGTGTAGGCCCTGTATATTATCCCACACAAGGCTTGTAGGCCCTGTATAGGATCCCGCACAGGCCGTGTAGGCTTTGTATAGGATCCCAAGCAGGGCGTGTAGGCCTTGTATAGGATCCCACACAGGGCGTGCAGGCTTTGCATAGGGCCCCATACAGGGCGTGCAGGCTCTGTATAGGATCCCATACAGGGTGAGCAGGCTCTGCATAGGATCCCACACAGGCCGTGCAGGCTCTGTGTAGGATCCCGTACAGGGCGTGTAGGCTCTGTATAGGATCCCATACAGGGCTTGTGTAGGCTCTGTATAGGATCCCACACAGGCCGTGCAGGCTCTGTGTAGGATCCCAAGCAGGCCGTGTATGCACTGTATAGGATTCCGCACAGGCCGTGTAGGCTTTGTATAGGGTCCCATGCTGGCCGTATAGGCTCTGTATAGGATCCCACACAGGGCGTGCAGGCTTTGTGTAGGATCCCGCACAGGCCGTGTAGGCTCTGCATAGGATCCCGTACAGGCCGTGTAGGCTCTGTATACGGTCCTATAAAGGGCGTGTAGGCTCTGTGTAGGATCCCATACAGGGCATGTCGGCCCTGTATAGGATCCTAGGACCCCCAGGGACCCCCAGGAAATCCTTATGTATTCCGAAGGATGCCTGAGGGTCGCTTCGCCCGTGCGCACATCGCTTCCAGTCGCAGGCATACGTGGAGGTGCGCAAGGGTGGTCTCAGAGCCACGGTGACCATAGGGACCCGACGGGATTCCATTGGGATTCTATAGGGTTCCATACAGAGCTTGTAGGCTCTGTATGGGATCCCACACAGGGCGTGCAGGCTCTGTATAGTATCCTATACAGGGCGTGTAGGCTCTGTATGGGATCCCGCACAGGCCGTGTAAGGCTTTGTATAGGATCCCAAGCAGGCCGTGTAGGCTCTGTATCGGATCTTATACTGGGCGTGTAGGCTCAGCGTAGGGTCCCATACAGGGCGTGTAGGCTCAGTATAGGATCTTATACAGACGTGTAGGCTCTGTATAGGATCCCATACAGGCCGTGCAGGCTCTGTGTAGGATCCCATACAGGCCGTGTAGGCCCTGTATATTATCCCACACAAGGCTTGTAGGCCCTGTATAGGATCCCGCACAGGCCGTGTAGGCTTTGTATAGGATCCCAAGCAGGGCGTGTAGGCTCTGTTTAGGAACTCATACAGGGCGTGTAGGCTCTGTATAGGATCCCATACAGGGCGTGTAGGCTCTGTATAGGATTCCGTACAGGGCGTGTAGGTTCTGTATAGGATCCCATACAGGGTGTGTAGGTTCTGTATAGGATTCCGCACACGCCGTGTAGGCTCTCTATAGGATCCCACAAAAGGGCGTGCAGGGTTTGTATAGGACCCCATACAGGGCGTGCAGGCTCTGTAAATGATCCCGTAAAGGCCGTGGAGGCTCTGTATAGGATCCCAAGCAGGCCGTGTATGCTCTGTATGGAATCCCGTACATGCCGTGTAGGATCTGTATAGGATCCCATACAGGGTGTGCAGGTTTTGTATAGGATCCCATACAGGGCGTGCAGGCTCTGCATAGGATCCCGTACATGCCGTGCAAGGTGTGTATAGGATCCTGTACAGGCCGTGTAGGCTCTGTATAGGATCCCACACAGGCCGTGTAGGCTCTGTATAGGATCCTACACTGGGCGTGTAGGCTCTGTATAGGATCCCACACAGGCCGTGTAGGCTCTGTATAGGATCCCATACAGGCCGTGTAGGCTCTGTATAGGATCCCGCACAGGCCGTGTAGGCTCTGTATAGGATCCCATACAGGCCGTGTAGGCTCTGTATAGGATCTTCTACTGGGCGTGCACGCTCTGTGTAGGATCCCTCACAGGCCGTGTAGGCTCTGTATAGGATCCCACACAGGGCTTGTAGGTTCTGTATAGGGTCCCACACAGGCCGTGTAGGCTCTGTATAGGGTTCTATACAGGGCGTGTAGGCCCTGTATAGGATCCTAGGAACCCCCAGGGATTCCCTACGAATCCCCTGGGGATTCC